TAACACTGGAGCTGAGACAATTAGAATCACAGCAGCCAAAATTAACCATTTAGCGGAGATGGGGACACGGTTTGTTTGCTGCCTTGTTTTCTCTTATTTGCTTTTAGTTTCTGGTATAGATATAGCACTATGACCAAGTGAGTTAGTTGTTCCAGTCACTAATTTGGCAATATCCTGAACAGAAGACTTTTCCATGTACATTGTGCTTAGATCTGAAGAAGTCTCACAGCTCAGGGTTGAAATATCAAAAACCCCAGCCAGCCACATGTCCCACAAGACTAAAGTTGATGGATTCACAAGATTGACTTAGTCTTGGAATGACAAAGAAAACCGAAATATTTTAACAAAAAGACTTATTTTAGCTATTGGTTACATTCATATTTCAACTAGTAATTCTTGACAGCAGTACACAATTCTGAAATTTGAAACTCATACTCAACTACAATGATGATAATAGAACAACAATTGTATTTGTCTATTGACTTGTTCTTTCACTTTTCAAAAGACTGGCATGATAATCTTGTGGTCTTTTCATTTATGGCTGCCACTATAATTTTCTCTTATTGCATGTCTGTTCCACTCACATCTAATGTCTCTTCTTTCTTAGTTTTAACCAAAGTGGACTGCACAACCATACAACCCAACCTGCCAATAATTTACTGGTCCAATCTTGTTATTAATTTACTTTCTAAGGCTTTCTTATGCTGCAAAAATCTACTTCCCCAAAAGCTATTCTTCCTAAGCAATCATTGGCAAATATGTCTTTTTGTAAACAAACTACTTAGCCCCATTGGTTTTGGCTAATTTTTATTTTCTTTTGAAAACCCTTTCTCTTAAATTATTCTGCCTAAGAAACCACACTAATTTAAGGAATAGACCTTTATATGAACAATTTAATCTCAGGATTATTTTGAGATAATTTCTCAGCAGAAATCAAAAATTAATTTATTACCTGCCATTATTTTTGCCCAACTTAGGCAATTTGTAGCAGGTGGTAAAGGGCTGTACCCAGTCATACTAAGTTATCTCCAAGTTAATATTCAACTTCAATTCTTTAATCTACTTTCTGAAAACTATATGATTTTATTTATTTTCACACATTTAATTCCAATAATCAATAAATGCAATCAAGCCAACTCTCAAATTTCCCCCATACCACCTAGTTTCATAGTATAAAACTGAGCCACTCTGGTTGTCAACTGCTGGAGCTCTATTTGCCCTGCACCAGTGAATTACCATCCATATCATCACCTGTCCTGGGTAAGATGATAAACTACGTCCAAAAGCAAGGCTTCTGATCAGGAGGTTTTGAGGAGTGTGGAACCACCTCTTAATTGCTGGTGTTCCCCAGGTCCACACTGACCTGGGGTGGTAGCACCTGTTAGGGTCCCAGCTATGGGCAAATAGTTAACCCCGAAACCGGGGTAAAAAGCATTATAAAAGCGTAAAAATGGGTTTTAATACCAGAGATACTTTGTAAAAAAATTGTTACCAGAAATAAATTTTTGAAGAAAAAAAAAAAACAAAAAAACTTACCAGAAATACTTTTTTGAAAAAAAATATTACCAGCAATAATTGTTTTAAAATAATATTACCAGCTATACATTTCTGAGAAAAAAAATATTACCAGAAATAGATTTTTGACAAAAAATATTACCAGGAAAAACAAGTTGTCAGCATTAAATAACCCAATGAGGTTGATATGCTGTAAAACACAACAAACCATGCATAGGATGTGCACCTTTTGACTTATTATACCAACAGAATAAGGGTGCAATTTGAGAATGAGTTATTAACAGTGAATTGTTTTCTAGTGAGTCTGAGTGAGAGTGTTAATGTTAATGTGTTAATGCATATACAGTATGCATACATAAAAATATTTTGTGTGTATGTACATACATGTGTAATTGGCATACATGTAAGAATTAAAAATTACAGGGAGGGTACCAGAATTTTAGAAATACCAAAGTGGAGCATGGCCCAAAATTGGTTGGGAACTACTGAAGTAGACAAATTCCCTTCTGTAAACTGAGGAAAAAAAAAAAACTTACCACTGCCAGTGCATTATTATCCTGGTAATGAAATTGGTGCCAAACTCAGGCTAAAGCCTAGAAAACTCATATAAATATAGTGGTCAAGCAGAACTTAAACTGGAGGGTAATGTGACCAAAACACATAAAAATATTGAACCATATAATAGTCAAAATTTACCAATATCAAAATGGAGGCAAAGTTTGTAAAAGCCTGTTACTGTTGGGAGAATCAGGGTCTGGTCAGCCCTAATTGGATTGCTTAAGGGAGAGAATATGATGTTGAGAGACCTGAAATTCTTGAGGAACCCAGGAATATCACATTGCTGACGACTACCTCTTGTTCATCAAAAAGATGTATTTTGCGAAAATCAGATCGACATTCATATAGATATCATTTATGTTGTCCAACTGACTCAGAGATGTCTAAACCATAATCTGTATACAACCATTTTCACAGATCAGTGGTAAATACTGTTTCAAATGAATCCTCCAAATCTTAAAGTCCACAGACTGGCATTAAAAAATCATAAATGAAAAGCTTTACCAGGAAAAAAATAAAGCCACATCACTTGAAGATTTCCAACAGCAGCAACAAAAATGGGTAGCACAAGTGTAGTAAAGTGAGACCAAGGTGTGGTCATGGCTGCAATTTGTAATTTCATCATGGCACATGTGCGAGACAAAGACTTAAAAAAAAAACTGTTGATTTGCATGCACAAAGATGTAACTGATATAAACGAAGAGCATGTTTTTTCAGGATGCAGTTCTTTTGAATCGGATGGTTAGAATGGCGCAATGGATTGATGATAGCGAAGAAATATTTACTGCGATTTCTTGATATTGGACGTACAATTCTTGATAGCAACATTTCCTTCTGTACCCTCCTTGGATTTTACAGTGTTTTTGATTATCAAACAGTTTGTCTTGCTTTGAACTTGAAATATTACTTCAAATCAACTACAACATGAAACTTGAATAGAGAATAATGATATAATCATTAAATTTCAACACAACCAAAATCACAAAGATTGGAAGGAAATTCCCATCAATATTAGAAAGATTTATAACAGTTAACGGATTTGAGAAACTAATTTCCTTAAAATCTGTTTTAAGAAAAAAGATATAAATTTCAACCAATGATAATGCCAAATGTTTAGTCAATGAACGCTTTCTGTATGGAAACAGTTTTTAGCTAGTTTTAGGAGCTGCCCAGACCTCACTTTTCAGTCCAGTATACAAAATAATTCTTCTCCAACAAGGACTTTGAGACTCTATTGGGTCTCCAAGTCCTTGTTGGAGAAGAATTATCTTCCATACTTCAACCTCTCTCTCACAGGCAGGATGTGGTAAGTCTCTCACTGCTCTATCGCTGATACCATGGAAGGTGCTCAAATGAACTGCATCTCCTGGTTCCACCAGGTCTGACCTTCACAGCTAGTACCCGCCATGCCACTTACATAGTAACGACCCACCCTCATTCCCTCCATATTCCATCAGCAAGAAGTAAGTTCCACTCAAACAGCTTCTTCCCACAAACCACCGCTCTATGGAACAGACTTCTCAAAAGGATGTTTCCCCAATAACAATCTTAACCTGTTCAAGTCTAGAGTCAACCAGTATCTTCCCCTCCTATCCATATAAGCTACCCACTAATTTAACCTTCTACCTTGAGTGGCCCTCAAGTCTTGTACAGGATGAACCTTACTGTAAAAAAAACATCTTTCATCTTATTGTTGTTTTGAATCATAACATTTGAGGTTGAATACAAACAAACAATAAAATGAAAGATAAACATTAAAAATTAATGAAAGTATATATAATAATCTCAGGATTCAAATAACTAAAGTCAAATTAAATGTCATTAATATTAGAAAAGATACTGACAGGTCAAAAGTTTTAAAAAAAGTATAATTTGATACCAAATATCGTCTGACCCTACCTTCTCGTTATTGTAGACCAAATCTCGAGGCTTCGTTCCTTTCATATCCAGTAACTCATTTTCATCTTTTGAGCTCTCAAATTGGCACACATCACTAATATTAGCCATTCCAGATGTTGCTTCAGGGTCAGCACCCATACTCAATAACAAAGCCACCATTGTGTCATATTCCCGGCCACATGCTAAATGTAATGGAGTATTGCCATCAAATGTCACACAGCTAGTGTCGCATTCAGCCTAGAAAAGCAAAGTTGAAGTCATTTTATTTATTGATTATTCATGTCTTGAAAATGTAATATTGGTCAAGTACACAATTGAGTAATATAGAAACTGGTAATTTATAAATTATTTTATCAGAAACAACTGTATTTACTGCCCTATAAGAGTTTCAAACATGCTTACTTTTGAGAATGACCTTTGAATGTAAATGTTATTTCTGCTTGGGCAAATTTTGTTTTGTTCATTCATTCACTATCTTCTATGTTGACTAACCCCAGCTATGTATTAAATAGTAGAACGTGTATCTGGAAAAAATCATTACCTTTTAAAAAATTGTTAATATTCACTCACGAAAAAAAAAAAGACTTTTACAATCCTAAATATATTTTGGCTTTAAATAACCCACAAAGAGTTGATAAGCTTTTAAAAATAAAATAAAAAAAGTATTAATTCTAAGTGAACAAAAGCACTTGAAACCAAAATACAATTAATCTCAGTCTGCTAACATTGAATGAAAAGGCTACCATTTTCTTTTTACACTGACTGCAGTTCAGTGATCTGCCTTATCTATAAAACTGACACATTGAATGCAATTTTTGGATAAAGATAAATAAATACAATAACTTTATACAAGTGTTTAACAATTTGATACAGTTTGAACACTTATTCTTTTTTTTTTATTTTCATTCATCCTTAACATGCTTCCACAATTCAAAACTAAAGTTTAGTCCCAAATTTACTTATCCTGATATGTATGTTAACATTCATAATTACTACCCAAGCAAGAATAAGTGATTACAGCCACATCACACTAAAACACCAGTTCCAGTACAATCACTGAAGTTAAGCAAAATTGAGCCTGGTCAGTACCTAGATTGGTCACCACTTGGGAATAACAGGTGCTGTAAATATAGATGTGTGGGTGGCATAATGGATAATGGTTTGGAATTGTTAATTGGAAAGCCAAGTTCTGATTCTTGTTGGGTTCATTATATTTGCTTACGTGCAAATACTCTTGGGAAAGGTATGAATTCACCGTGCCTCCCCCAGCTATGTGTTAACTAGTAAGATTTGTATCAGTAAACCATTATTATCTCAAAAAAATTTCTTACAGGCTAAAATATTTTATGGCTTTAAATGGCTTGCAAAGGTTTGATGAAACATAGAAAACAAGCTGTTTTGGTGTTTGCATACGTTTCGTATATAATACATTAAAATTTCCCTTTCTCTGCCATGCGCTGATAGCTTAGGGGTAAGATCTCTGACTGATGCCAAATCGGTTGAGTTTCAATCCTGGCTTGAAGCAATCGAACATCTAGCCATTGTGATGAGCTGTGTGATACAGTGAAACAGGCTTGTATATGGATAACTATATATATATATATATATATATATATATATATATATATATTGTCAGTTATTGCATGGAGGTAAAGTTAATATAGAATTTTTATTAATCACGTACAGGTATAAACTATTTGTATATCTTGAAAGGGGAAGCTGTGTACAGAGCAATGGCCTTGAATATGTCCTTTTTTTTTCTTTTTTTTTTTTAATTTCAAGAGCCTTCTTTTTCCCCTTTTTATTTTTAAATGGAGGCAACTTAATTCCAAGTGATACTTACTTCAAGTAAAAGTTCCCCAACCAATAACAAATCATTTTTCTCAACAGCAATATGTAAAGGAGTTCGTCCACTTTTGCCATCTGGAAGATTGACTTCTGCTTTTGCTTCAATCAATAAACGTACACATTCAATGGAACCTCTAAGGCAAGCAAGATGAAGAGGAGAAAGACCTGACAAAAATACAAATAAAATAATTATTACAAAATCAAAAGTAAATGTTTGGGTTAAATATCACATTATATATTATTTACATCAAAAGCAATTTTATGTTGAAATAAAAGTCTTCAATAAAAAAAAAACAAAAAAAAAACAAACAATGAGTAAGTTATTTTTGTTTTTTTAGGTCTTTATCAGAAAGGGGAGCCAGAGCCAGAAAATGGTTACTCCAAATCATCTCAGTAAAAAAAAATTCACCAAGATATATATATATTTTTTTTAATATACAATTAGGAGTTCATTGAACCAAGATTGGGATAGCAATTAATTTTTGGACATATGAGATTTGTTTTAACAGCACAAAATCATTTTTTACTCTGTTTGCATATTTTTTTTTTTTAATTAATTCACGCCAGGCAAGGCAATAATGCCACTAAGATGCAAAGGGTTACTGAGAATGAAAGAAATTGAAAAGACTTTAGAAGGAACTGGAAACCCAATCCTAAACAGGAACTTAAGGATAAACCCCTACTCTTGTTCACAAGACTGGGGAGGAATGTGAACCAGACTATATACTGGAGTTTAGTTTTAACCTTTTCCAGATGGACTGACCAAGGATATTTTATTGCATCTAGTTTCTATGGAAACAACCAAAGCCAGATATTCAGCAGTCTGAACCTAATCCTAATAGAACAGAGGAGTGGATAAAAAAAAAAAAAAGTAATCTTTTAGAAGGTAATTTTTCTTCAGTGTCAGTTTCTAGCATCTTGCATAAATGTTTTATTTTTTCTTCTATATTTTGAACCACTTTCCTGGTTTCCAGTACATATTTAAATATAAACTGGCTGATGTCCAAATACTTTCGGCTCTCACGTAAAATATTTTAGTACCTACTAATTATATATGATTTTAGTTAAAATATGTATGAGAATCCAACAGAACAGAAGATGTATGACAATCTGTAAAAACTTTTTATGTTTACATCTTTTGCTGTTCAAACAACATGAAAAAGATTTAACTTCAAATCAAGTTGAAATAAGATCTGTTTTTACAATGAAGCTGTTTGACCAAGGCATAATGTCAAGATAATTTTTTTTAAAAATTGTCATATATGTGCCACATTCTAATATATATATATATATATATATATATATATATATATATATATATATATGAGGGAGATTTGAATAATCATAATTAATTCATCAAGTCTAGAAGAACCCTCTTCTTTATGCAGAAAACCACTAGATGGCCATTTTGTCCTATTGTTGGGACTCATCTGCAGTACGCATCCACTATTGAGAATCGAACCTGGACCATTGCAATATCAACAAAAGCTTCATACCTACTGGACCAACATATCTTGGTGATGGAGAGGTAACAAACCAGACTCTCCATATAGCGCCAACTCTTTACAAATTTTGTCATGTGACTCATCTGAGTCATATCGTAATGGTCTGGATTTGATTCTCGGTAGTGGATGCACACTGCTGATGAGTCACAAAAAATAGGCTGAAACAGCCGTTCAGTGCTTTCTGCATTCTGCTGGGGATTCTTCTAGACTCGATTAATTAATTATGATATATATATATATATATATATATATAAGTTCTGAAAAGTTATTGGCCTAACTCACTTCCTAAAAATCAGTATTCTGATATTTATTCATTGAAATAATGATTTAGGGAAGTGAGTCAATTCTTACAATTCAAAATATTCTTTGGCTTTAAGTAACTCACAAAGGGTTGATAAACCATTAAAAACAAATCAAAGAGTTAATAGGGCATTTTTGGGTGATGGGCAGAGGTCATCTAAATATGACCATAAGAAAGGTAAAGTATGTCATTTTCTCTCCAACATATCCAGTCATTATGAAATTTTCAATACTAAAAAAATTGGAATGTGTAAATAATAACAAAAATGTACCAATTGAAAAAAAAAATACAAACTCTATAATCACATCATATAGCAATTGATTGGCTTTGGTTTTAAAAACTAAGAATCTATAGTTAAAAAAAAAACATCAGCCTCCATCTTTTTATAGCATGTAAACATATTAATTTGTGGAGATAAGCTTAAAAAACAAAAAATAGCTTTAAAAGATTTTTACCGTCACAGTTAAGTGTGTCCAGTTCTGGAAATGGATCACTTTGAGAATATTTTCCTGTATCAAGTTTCAGAAGAGATTTGAGGCATTTTATGTAATTGTACTTCACAGCTAAATGAACAGCAGTATTTCCGTTGCAGTCGACCAGTGTTCGCTTAATGCCTTGTTTAAGCAGGAGTTCTACCATATCCGGTTGGTTTGTCAATACAGCCAGGTGTAGGCCAGTCTGAATAGAAAAATGAAAAACATTAACTGACACAAGGAAATGAATCTATTTGCCTTTGGCAAAATATGGAAGAAGAAAGGAATTCAAAATTTGAGAGATTTCAAAGAGAGTGCAGATGGTGTAATTGATAAACCATAAAAACAAATCAAAAGTTAATAGGGAATTTTGGGACAATGTGTATTATTATGAAATTTTCCAAACCCAAAAAACACTGGAATAGGTAGGTAAATAAGAAGAAAAAAGAAACAAACTGTATAACCTCATCATATAAGAATTGATTTTCTTTGCTTTGAAAAACAGAGAACCTATAGGTAAAAAAAAAACAAGCAACCAAAAAAAGCATGACACTACTTGCCCTGTTGGTATTTAATATTACAGTATTATGGAGTTAGGCTAAGTACAGGTTTTGGTAGTCAATGGCATCTGGGTAGATGCCTTACAACTTCTAATAAATCCCATAAGATATTTAAAAAGACATTTTCTTTTTGTAGAAAAGGTGGGTTCTTTTATGTCATCAAATACAGTATATGACCAACAAATAGCAACTGGTGTACTTTGTTGATAAAAAATCATTTCCCTTTAGTGTTCACGGAATTTAACTTCTAAAAAAAAATATAATAATAATAATTAGTGAGAAAACCTGACAGTATTGATTGCAAAAATGCCTTACCTGAAAGCGGTGATTGGATATATTAAGGTCTTCAAGTGTAGCAGCAATGACAGGAACCAAATTGTGAACAACCTCAGACTGATTGTTAATTAAAGCCAGGTGCAAACAACTAAAATTTTAAAAGAAAAAATATTTAAAGAAAATTGAAGCTGTATTGTATGTTCATTTTAAGTCAACATCTCAATTTTTTTTTCTTTTTCTTTACCAAAGTTAAAAAAAAAAAAATTGTGAGAAAACCAACCAGCTAAATAATTGGTATCTTTCAATTTGACAGGCTTTTACATACAAAGTGAGAAGAAATAAAAAGTTCAAAGTATTTAAACCTGTAAAAAAACATTACTTTTCCACCTACTCCATTAAAACAGTTTCCTTGGGAAAACTAACAAAGGTGCTACAACTAAAATATAGTGACAAAAGTTCATACTGTTCTTATTTTTCAAGCAACATTCCATACTTTAATATTGAGAAATAAAATTAGATTTAGTGTCAGCATCAGGGCACATCACTGGCAAATTTTTCTTAGATGTCAAAAAGAAAAAAATATCAAGAGATCAATTGAAGTAATGATTTTAATTCATTTTCTCTAAGACGTTTACAATCTTATCTCCCCTTAATAATGAGACATTCTGTTGTTTACAAGTATTGCCACTAAGTAAGCATATCTTGTGCTACGATAAGGATGGAACATCATCATATTAATTAGGGAGATTAGGTTGACAATATATTGCTTCTTATTTTGTTTTGGGTTAGCTTTCTGTTACTTTTAACAATTTAAAAAAGTAAAATTCTTTCTTACATGCAACAAACTGTTTATGGTTTTGATAAAAAGTACAGATTTTTTATGCAAAAAATATAACCAATGTTACTTAAATATTGCCATCATTTTTTGATAATGAGCATTGTTAGTTTTCTTTTCATTTTTTTTTTTACTTTTAATGATTTAAAATGCAGAATTCTTTCTTACAGGCAGCAATAGAGTTAATTGTAGAGATAAAAATCCTGATTTATAGATGCAGAATAATTTAACCAATGCAAATGAAAATTTACTTAAACATTGCCATAATTTTTTGATGAGATAAGTAAACTAGTAAATAAATAAACAGAAAGGTCAGTCTTACTTATCT